GGGTGGAGGGGAAGTTACAGTTCCGACACGCGTAAATGGTAGGAAAAGCGGCGCCGGATGTCGAGATCAGAGAAATGGAAGGAGACGGAGAGAGAGAGTGAGAGAGGGAGGGAAGGGGGGGAGAGGAATCGTAGTAGTAGACGTAGTAACTTTGAGCGTCAGCGCGACAAGTGCGGTTGAGGAGGGCTGGGACAGGCAGTGTCAAGTGCTGCAGGGCGGTGGGGCGGCGGGCGCGCCGCTCCGCAGAGGAGGAGGTGCGGCGGCGCGGCGGGGAGGGAGGTGTGGAGGGGCGACACAGATGATGACGAAGGGCTTGCGCGGCGTCCCGCGCTGCCGGGGCTCCTGCCCTCCTCGCGGGGAATAGACAGCTAATGAGCCGAGCTGCCATTTTGTTTCAATCTCTGGTGGTGTGGCGCTCTCCCGGCGCTCATTATTTCTTGCGCCTCGGCGGTTCGCAATTAATGCCTGGCGTGTCCCTCCCCCCCCCAGGGGCATTTGTTAGTTTGTGGGGCGAGCAACAGCAAAGTCCTCTCTTTCTCCTTCCCGCCCCCCTATCTCTCTCTCTCTGTCTCTCTCGCTCGGGTTGTCGCAGCCGCAGCCTCGCGTCGTCCTTTCTCTTTTTTGCTCATTGTATTCTTACTGCGGCGTGGTGTTGGCGCCGCATCATGCCATGCCGTCTTCATCCCGGAGCCGCTTTCCTTATCGTCGTCGTTATCGTGCGCCCCGTTGTGACGTGCTTCTCCTCCCCTCCATACACACACCTTAATTCTAGGGGTTGGAAGCCGTGGAAAGTTTCCGGAAAATTTTAGGAAAATTTCCGGGTGAGATGGAATGGAGAATATTTGGTTTACATGGAAAGTCTGGAATAGTTTTAGATTTTATGGAATAGTTTTGGAACATCTGGAAGAGTTTTTGGAATACTTTTTAGTGTGTACATGGAATATCCAAGTGGCTAACCTCTCACTAAAGGCCCTCAAAAGGCCCTCAAAAGGCATAGGTAATAGCTACCTTTGTTTTACCAGAGCGCCCGCCTCTCGGCCCTCCTCCGGTGCAGTCCCCCGCCCCCTGCGCCACTGCTGGCCGTCACTGTATTGGGGCCGGGCGCTGTCCGCGGGCGGATTCGTGGTGGAGGTGGGAAGCAAAGTCGTGGGTGGGGGTGGAGCTGTGGCCGCCCCGTGGTCGGCAGTGTCTGCCAGGGCGAGATAGGGGAGGCTGATCGCCGCGCTGGCCCTACGTCATCTGGGCTCCGCGGGGTGACCCCTGTGCGCCCCGGCAGCCAGGTCCTGGAGGAGGGGTGGGGGGGAGGGCGTACGGGACAGGGCCCAGGGGTGCAGTGGCCCCGCCGCGCCTGGACCACCCTCCTGGGCCGGGTCGGCGCGCGGATCGCCACGGAGTCGGCTCCACACGCCATTGAGACCCGATTGTCCGTGAGGCCCTGAATGACTGAAAATGGGGGCGCCGCACTGCGTATAGCGCGGCGGAGCAGCGGGGTTGTGGGGGGGCACGACACGAGTCGCACAAAACTCTGGGACGGCTGGACGCCTTTTGCCCCTTTGGGCAAAAGTTTTTCTTTTGGTTTGAGGGCCATTTATTTTTCCACATGCGAGAATGGTCGCGGTAGATACCTTTGCTGTGCTTCGTCTTGTATTTTTTTTCCGTTGCTCACTTCATAACGAATACAACACGACCGGGTGGTTGGGTTCTGCGCCGACGGTATGCCCCTCCTCGTCATTAAAAGTTTTTCCTGCTGGTCGGTCGGTCGGTCGGTCGGCCGCCGCCGTCGGGGCCGCGGAGATGCTTTGCTAACGAACCGAACACGTTAGCGGGTTGGACGGTAGAAGAGGATGGGGAAAGAGGGGGGAGGGGGGGATGCTGTGTGTGGTGTCTATCAGCATGAAGAAGTCTCGCTGCGTGTGGGCTGGCCGGACGGGCTGCACAGCACAGATGCATCGGGCCGGGCCACTGCGGGCCGCCGGGCCTTCGGTGCGTTAGCCCAGTTAGCCGCGTTGTCACGGACCGGCGGATCACCAATGCCGTTTGTGGTCCCCTGTGAATGCATACCCTGCCCCCCCCCCCTTCCCTTCCTTTCTCCACTGTCCTCCCGTTGCCCCTGCCCCTCCCTCCCTTTCCACCGCACCAAACGCACCAATGCGCCCCATATTCTAATGGCCACTGCAATGGCCGCATCCAGACTCATATTTTTCGCGCGGCGTACATACAAAACGGCTCTGTAGTCGAATATGATTTGTGTTGCAGATATGCCGGTGCAGATATTTGTCGCATTGGGGATCGAAAAAGCCATTGCCCTGGTGAGTACTTTTTTATTATTGTTTTTGTTTGTTATTTATGTCTTCCACTTGTTTTTGTTTGCACGTGTAGTTTGTGTGTACGTGTAGGGCGGATGGAGAGAGCCCGTTTCACAAAAGTAAAACGCTGGCCCGTTTGTGTGCGTCTATTAGGACTTCCCTTCTCACCCCCATTTACCTCTCGTTGCTGCTCCTCTCTCGCACCCGCTCTCTTCGCTGATTTTTTTTTTCTTTTTTTTATCCTGTGGTGGAGAGCTATTGTGGTACAAACGCTTCTTCGATATCGATTGCACATTTTTCACGCCGCACGGACTTGATGTGAGGGGAGAGTAGGGGAGAAAGAGGGAGAAAGAGAGAGAGAGAGAGAGAATGAGAGAGGGGGTAGGGGGAGGGAGAAAGAAAGAGAGAAAAGCTAGGGAGAGAGGAGAGCGAGGGGTCGTCAACTTCGATATTCCTCCGTACACGGACTGATATTACCTCAAATATTACACCAATATTAGCCATATTACTGGTAATATTACCTCGATATTACACATTTTTCTAGTATTATGACGTCACAGCTTGAAAATTGGCTCAATATTACCAATATTATTTGTAATATTCAATATTCCTCCGTACACGGCCAAGGAGAGTTGACGACCCCTCGGAGGAGAGATTCTCTGCAGAAGCCCACCTGACCTCAGCGTGAAGTGCCGGACCCGGCTGGTCCCGGCTGGACCCCCTCCTCCGGTTCCCCTAACGGTTTGTTGCTGCCATCGAACCAGCCGTTTGTGTCTCGCCGGGCTGGGCCGTGCGTGCGCCACACTGCACCATTAATGAGACGAGTGCTCCGTCTCTCCGTCTCTCTCTCTCTCTCTCTCTCTCTCCTTCCTTACGACTGGAGGCGCAGATTGGATTCGACAGAGAGGGAGTTGGAGTGAGTGAGAGCAAGAAGAGCATGTGGGGGGTTGGAGTGGGAAAGGAAAGGGGTTTGATTCACGTACTGCCTGCCTGCTGCCATTGGTAGAATTTGCACGCGTTTCCGAGAGAGAGGAGAGAGAATCTGCGTTCCGAAGTCTAATCAATCGGACTCGTCATGTACGGCAGCTGCCCACGCAGCTGTTCCATTTTGTTCGTGTGCAGCGATCTAAACAAAATCGTGCAATAATGAGTGTTGTATTAAAAGGCTGAACTTGCACGGGTTTTTCGAGCTTCCTAATACAAGAACTCGACATATTGTTCAGTGCTAATGAACCCTTTCATGTGTGCTCACCAGTTAAAATACTTGTCAGTAAAACTAGCACCGAAAGTAAAACTTGCCTTTTTTTCCGTCTGTGTTTTTCAGGAGCGCGTGACGGAGGCGCAGGGCATGAAAGCCCACTTTGTGAACCTGCTGTGGCACGTCGCTTACCCGGTGGTCGGCATCTGGGCGGCCGGGGACTCCATCAGCATACGTAAGTTGTTCATGTCGTGAAAGTAAAACGACGACGGACACTGGAAAATGATTCGTAAATTTACCAAGCATATGGGTAATTCTACCAAAATGGCACGGGTCGGTGTCCGCGAAAAAGTTTCTCGTTTATCTCAAATATATTGTTTGTCAAGCTTCGCCGAGGTGGTTTTCGCGCTTCAGATGATTACTTGTGCTCTATTTTAACTATTTTAATCAACTACAGCTACGGGGCATTAGTAATTAATCAATAATTCGCTATAATCTCACGTTGTCCCCCTTCGTCACACCCTAACCTAATTTCAGCGTTTTCTTCAATACCAAATGATGCCAAGGGTATTTTACTGTTCGAGATGTTTACTTTCGTGTCATTTTCACTATTTCAATCAACAACAGCTACACACTTAAAGTATTTCGGCCAAAAATGTCAAATATTGTCCCCTTTGTCACGCTGTCCTGGGCGTTCGGCGTGACAAAGGGGGCTATTTGAGACATTTTTTGGCCAAAATACTAATAGAGAGTGGCTGTTGTTGATTGAAATATTGAAAATGACATAAGAGTAAACATCTCGAACAGTGAAGTACACTTGGCATCATTTGGTATTGAAGAAAACACTGAAATTAGGTTAGGGTGTGACAAAGGGGACAAAAGTGAGATTATAGTTAATTATTGATGAAATACCAATGCTCCGTAGCTGTTGTTGATTAAAATAGTTAAAATAGAGCACAAGTAATCATCTGAAGCGCGAAAACCACCTCGGTGAAGCTTGACAAACAATATATTTGAGATAAACGAGAAACTTTTTCGCGGACACCGACCCGTGCCATTTTGGTGGAATTACCCATATGCCACAGGAAATAATAAAACAAATTCCAACAGTCCTCAGCTTATTACGATCTAAACACTAATTGCGTTGCGTACTGAAACACTCGGACGATCTGCAGTCGAATTAGTGGAACTGTGCGGGTTTGCTAACTTTGTACAGAGTTGGAGCGCAGCTCTCGTCTGCCACTGCAGCGCGCCTGCGGACAGCTCGATAGGCCACCCGGCGCACTCGTGTGTCTACCGGGCCAGCCTACCCTGGCCTCCCTCATACGTTTAAATAACGCTCTCAAATGTCTTATCGTTTTGTTGGTTTATGAAGTACCTACGGTAATGAAAGAGAAATATTTGTTTTTGAACTTTCTACGTGTTAGCTGTATTTTCTTGTGATGGCAAAATTGTGCTTGTCGCTTAATAAGCAAAGTAAATAATCCATTTCGTAATTACTTATGCGACCTCTGCAGATGCCATGGTACCTATAACTAACATTTTTTCAAATCACGGTATTCCCCCCCCCCTCTCTCTCTCTCTCTCTCTCTCTCTCTCTCTCTCTCTCTCTCTCTCCGCTCTCGC